GTAACCGGCGCACCAGTCATCAGAATTATCACTTTTATTCACGGAGTCTGCACGCCTTGCATGGCCCTCCAAGTAGAAGAGGAGGGAAGGGAAAGTCTCCTTGCTACTGACACATTTCTAAGATGTTTAATGAATATTCCTCGTGTGTTTTCAGAACGTTTTTATTATTATTATTATTTATTTGTTTTTATTTAGTTATTCAATTCTAATCCATAAGCGAAAGGCAATTTCTTTTTCTTTCTTTTGGTTCACATTCATTACCCCCCCCCCCGCCCAGTTAAGGGAGAGAGCCACCGAATCGTGCAATTTGCAACAAGCACGATGCTGACCGCCTCTCCTTCAGGTCCGCCCTATCGACCAGCCGCCTTCGCCGCGTGGGTCCTCGCCCTTCGCCGCGGACCTGTTACTCACTTGAGATTTCTCGGAATTGCAAAACACTTGATATAGACGTCGATGGCCGGAGTCTGAATCATGAGTCGAGAGGGCTAAGGGGGAAATTATCTTGGTTTTGGGTGGAGATGGGAAAAGGGGATGGCCGGGGGGGGGGGGGGGGAGTCGGTCAAGTGCAAGGAGGAGGGGATGGGGGGGAAGTGCGTCGAGGGAGGAGAGGATGGGGGGAGGTGCGTCGAGGGAGGAGAGGGGGGGGGTCGAGGGAGGAGAGGAGAGGAAGGGGGGGGGGTTGTCGAGGGAAGAGAGGAGGGGGGACGAGGGAGGAGAAGGGGAAGAGGCAAGGGTGATAGCGCGAGGAGAGGAGGGCATAGCATTAGGGTGAAGGCACTAAAGAGGGTGATATCAGTAGAACGAGAGGTGTTCTATCGCAGTAGGTAGTAAGAAGTAATGAGGTGCTTGATCTAGATTCCTGTGAACTGCATTTAATATGTTGTCGGAAGAAAAGAAACCGAAAGCGGAAGAAGTGGAATAAAAAAAAAAGAAAAAAAGTAACGATGAATAAATATACAACGAACAAGCATGAACAGCAGAAGTAAAACAAAGAACTAGATTGAGAGATGAAATTGATTTTTTTTTTTCTTTAATGTTCAAACATTCATTTCCATTTCTTCCTTTTCTTCCTTTCTCTTTTCACCTCCATCTTTTAACCTAAAGAAAAAAACCTAAAGCAATGAAACGGAAAAGAAAACGTAGCCGCGAAATAAAAAAAGATATGTAAAAGAAAAAGAAAAAAAAAAAGAAAGCAGCAAACCAGCACTTTTGTGGCCGACTGTCTAGACCCTGAAAACAAAAGAAACAGAATACTATGCAAAGTTTGGTTCTTGTTGGCCGGGATAACGGATGGGGAGGAAGGAGAAGGGAAGGAGAAGGGAAGGAAGAGCGAGACGGAGGAAAGATTTTAAATGTGAGCGAGACGGTATCAGACGCAGAGCATGGGACGGACACGCGGAGGCTTGTTTGTGTGTGTGTGTGTGTGTGTGTGTGTGTGTGTGTGTGTGTGTGTGTGTGTGTGTGTGTGTGTGTGTGTGTGTGTGTGCATATATGTATGTTTATACCTAGATAGAGAGAAATGGATATTCAAAAATATATATATATATATATATATATATATATATATATATGATGGATATATATATAGTTAAATAGATTGATAGATAGATCAGGATATATGCAAACATTCATATACGAATGTATACATACACATATACATGTATATACACATAAACATGTGTTTACATATTATACTCATACATACACACAAACAGATACATACAGAGATACATATATACATATTTGTGTGTGTGTGAGAGAGAGAGAGAGAGAGAGAGAGGGGCAGACAGACACAGATAGAGAGAGTGGGGGAGGAGGAGGGGAAAGGAGCGAGGGAGGAAAAAGAAAACAAACCTGACCGTGGGTGAACAGAGGAAAATCCAGATCCAGCATGAGAGGTCTTGTTCAGAAGTATAGGTCATAGGTTAACTACAGTTTAACGAGAGAGGAGAATCAAGAGGATGCCTAAGACAGGAAAATAGAGGAGGACGGAAGCGGATAAAGAAAGATAAGAAGGGGGAGAGAAGATAGGATACAGAGGGCAAAATGATAATAAGTAAAGTAAATGCTAACACGCCCTGTGACAATAAAAAGAAAGAAAATCAATTTCGGAATTAAATTTGAAGTGTCATTGCGGAATAAGAATACAATTTGGGTACATATCATAGGTGAATTAGCTTTTGGAATCAAATAAGATTTTTTTGGAAACAAATATGATAGAAATTTCGGTCTGGGAATAAATGCGTTGGGAAGAAACAGGTCATACCATATAAAGATAGAATCCCCAGTTAAGCACTGAAGACAACACTGATGAATACACTCGCCAGATGTGTGGACACAATTCAGCAAAGAGGAGAGCTGGAGTGAGGGGTACAGACGGTACGCTTGAGGGTACAGGAGAGTGAGGGGGCATGGGAGAGGGAGAGGGAGAGGGGGGGAGGAGTCAGACCTCAGGATGTGTCTCCCTCGGGATCACTTTTCAGCCCACTCTTACCATATAGTGAGCTCCCACATTCGCTCTCCGTCATGTCATTCCAGAATCACGGGACTGAAAGTTGCCACGTCCAGTTTAATCGGACCTAGTCTCCATATGAACGGAATTGAATCGTAGTTACCGATTCTGCCTGTAGAGGGGGTGAATAGAACATCAAAGGGAGTTTTAGCCTTGGAACCGACCGACGAGTCCTGACCTGCTTGTTACCGCAGGAACCGGTCGTTAGTGATAGCCTTGGAGAGAGAGAGAGAGAGAGAGAGAGAGAGAGAGAGAGAGAGAGAGAGAGAGAGAGAGAGAGAGAGAGAGAGAGAGAGAGAGAGAGAGAGAGAGAGGTAGGTAGGTATCAGCGAGGCTCAGACAGATATGTTAGTCATCTAGAGAGTGACTGAGAGAGGAAATGAGGGGCGAAGAGAGGTGAGCGAGAGAGAAAAGAGAGAAACAATGGGAAGAACGAAAGAAGAGAAAGCAGATAGTGAGAAATTGAAGCAAAAAAAGGGCAAAGAAAACCAGAGGAGACGCATCAGAATAACCTAACGATAGACGGCGGTTAGCGAGTGTTTGCGGTTTCACAATAAAGAGCACGAGGGGAAATAAGAAGCGCGTGATAGGGGGAGAGAGGGGAAAGGGGAGATAGAGGGGAGAGGAGGACGGGAGCAGGATATCTGACATTTTGATTACAGCGTTAGAAAAAAAACGACATTGAATCGGAGATGGGGGCCACGCCATTCGTTTCTCGCTGATAGGATTTGCATTAATCCTGACGTAGGGAATCAAAAGGAGTGATACAGAATAAAATTCATTAATTGATGATGGTTATAACAGCAATAATGAAATGTGTTGATAATATCGACAACTACAAAGATAAGAACAAAAATGAGAGTAATGATTAAAACGGTAAAGATTATAATAATGCTAATAATGTTGATGGTGATGATAACAGTAACAGTAATAGTACCAGTACTACTACTACTACTACTACTAATAATAATAATAATAATAATGATAACAACAACAATAATAACAATAGCAGCAAAAACAATAATACTAATAATAACAGCAACAATACTAATAATAACAACAGCAACAACAATATTACTAATAACGCAAAGAAAAACATAACAAAACCAAAATAAATACGACAACCAAGAAAATAAAATCAGGAAACCATAACCCGGCTCCCGCGGGCTCGTCCCTCGACCACAGGACCTGAAGGCCGGTGTACTGTTGCACGCGCCGACGAAGGTTGAGCTCCTTTGGCGTCTCCATTAAGCCGTACCTTGTTAGTGCTAAATTAATCTTAACTCCGACGTTCATCCTTGAGACGGCAAAACTCGTTAGGAGTGACAAGAGGGATATGTCTAGTAAGATGGGAAGAAGTAATAAGTATGTTTTATTACTGTTTCTTCTGTTTCTTTTCTTTCGGGTTGGCTGACTGGATGAGGTTTTTCGGTATTCTTGTGATGTTATGATTGTTTTTTTTCTTTATACAGTTTTGAAAATGCTGTTCTTCCATTGTGGTATGTACTCTGGCTTAAGATCTTTTGAAGGTTTGCAAATTGCAGAGCGAAAGATGTCGTATATGGCTGTTACACATCTAACCTTTTGGTTGTAGTTCTGTAATAAAAAATAATAAAAAATAAAAAATGTGACCCGTTTCACAGTCGCGAGTTATTCTTGCAATTGGACATTAGTGGCTATGAATGAAAGTGTGGGCCCGGAAGAGTAGATTTTCTGTCAGTTAAAAGTAAGTGAGATCAAATAGCCTTTATTCTCTCTTAATTTTTTTTACTTCGATAAGGCAAGATTTTAGTTGGTCAAAACTGACCAGCTAAAAGAATTTCATTTAATCTGAAATATTCATCCTAAATCTAACATAAGGGCATTACATTGCATGTACTTAATAATTACTATTCTTTCGGTGATCCATCTAATGAATATGAAAGATCATAACGCACATGTGTGGAGATTCATGTGGAGTGAAACTGAGAGAGAGAGAGAGTGAGAGAGAGAGAGAATATAACTGTCAAAAGACAGTCCTTACATCGCCTCCCCTCTCTCTCCCCGTCAACACCAGGGTATATACTGTACCTTCCACACACCTGGCAATATACTCCCCTCCTCCCACTCCACCCATACCTCTCGTCGCTTGTCACTCCAGCTGGAGTTCGCAACTCCCTCTAACTTCCTCCCCTCCCCTCACCCCCCCCCTCCCCACAACCCTCACTCCTCACTCCTCACGGTCAAACTTTCCTCTCGTGTTTCCGGTCTGCTCTTCTGTCTGTCTCTCCGTGTCACCTCCCTCTCCCCTCTCCCCTCTCCCCTCCCCCTCCTTCTCCCCTTCTCCGACAACATGACTCACATCTCCCTTAACACCCCCCCTCTACCCTCTCCCCCTCCCCCTTCCCCCATCCCCATTCCCTCTGACCGTGTTATATCCGTGACTTAGAACTTCCGTGGGAAACAACGAGCCAATAGGGACAACAAATTGGTCGGTTATTCGGCCTCT